CATACTGGGCTTGTTAGAAACAGGCTCTCTTAGTGCCAACAAGCAGAAAGTTAAAAAAAAACTTCTGGATCTGCCCTACAAATGAATCAGATCTTACTGAAATTAAATACTATATTTAAAGATAGTCGTTTAATAAATTTTACGATTTAGCATATAGGATATTTGAGTGATATACAAAAATGATTATTTACGGAAACAATTATTCCTTCTTAAATTGGAAATTTTTAAAATTTACTTGGCTTATATAATTATTTATTTTTAAAGGAATTCACTGCTATCCGAAAATAGTAGCAAATTCATATGAGAAGTAAAAATTGTAATCGTACTTTCATTATTATTTTATTGAATGACGTGCATATTTGAGGTTGGGCATTGCCTGAAGGGACGTTACGTGGCCCAGACAAGGGTTTTGCAGTTGACGTTAACAAAATGCGTTATAGTTTTCAGCTAATCGTATTCGGTAATCTTTCAGAATGGTCAAACTCTAAGGGTATATTTATTTCTTATTTTCACAGTTCAAAGCTGCAAATTTCATTTGTCTTGTCTGTGTTTTCGAACTATTGTTTCACAATACACATTGCCACACTTTTACTGTGCATATATTCATGACTTCTATGTTTAAAAAGTAGACAGTTGTTTTTAACATTACACGTGTAGCTGAGATGTACTTTTTTACAGGTATAAAGTATACCTGTAATAATAAAAAAAAAAAAAACAGTGAGCCGGACGTGATTCGAACACGCAACCTTCTGATCTGATGTCAGACGCGCTACCATTGCGCCACCAGCTCTTGTTTTTAGACTGTATTTTCTTTTTTATCACACTTCAATGATGATAAACTTGAATTCTCATATATGTATGTCAAAGCCCGTTAGCTTCTCGATTCCGTTGTTTGGAGTCTGTCAAGGCAGTTTCATGATAACGTCGATAGGGTTGCTTTACAGGCCATTGGGGACCCTGTATTACGTAAGAGTTAGACTGAAAAAAATTCCAAAAAGAATTTATTGTCACATTTATCTTCCAAAAATCTATGTCGGATCTATAAATCCGTGATTTCCTTTAACAATTCTTTAGAAAACTTATCGTTTTTTGCTATTAAAAATATTCTTTATTCAAAAACTGTCATGTGTGAAGTCAGCTGCATTTAAAGAAAAAAAAGCATTATTGTTTTTTAAAGAATTAGTTACATGTTAGATTAAGATATTTTAAATAGCTTTCTTGATACAAGTTCGTGGTTTAAGTTTACACCTTTATCTATCTTGTCACTATTTTTTGGCAGCTGTTAACAGGTAATATTTTACGTAATCTTGAAATTAATAGATCAGTGATTTCTTCTTTGTGAGTCTGGTTGCCACATTCAGATTGAAGCCAAGGGATGAGACACATATTGCTTTAGTTGCATTCTCAATTTAAAGGAACTGAACTGAAATACTGTAAAAATACCAAATGTAACTGAAATAAATTTTATTAATATTTGATTCTTGGGAAACATTCGAATCAATCCGACACATACCAAATTGTTCGTTATCTCTTGGATAGCAAGTACTAAATTAGTCCATATATTAGTCCACTATACTTTTTGTCGGGAACTATAGCGCCACTCCCCTGCTTAGGGAAGTGACAATCTTGATAGACGTGGTAAGCTCTTAGAGGAATATTTTGCTTGTAACGACCTCGTTAACAATCCGTTGTCCTTTCTAACCTTTGTCTCCCACAGAGGCGTCAGTGTGATTGATATCGCGGTTTGTACTTTGGGGATCCTCTCCAGGATTTGCAACTAGAGGTTATTGGATGAAGACAGCTTAACCAAGCGCGCTTACATTGACTCCAATTTACTTTCTGATCAGAATGGCCAGTTATCTGCCCACATTTTCCAGCTGAGGTTCTCGCTGACTAACGCAAATTGGATTGGCATGAACTTGTGATCCTTGTGACTCACCTGATGGATTGCTTCATTGAAGACTCAACAATGGCAAAGACCTAAATTGACCACATTATTAAAATTATTAATGATGCATGCAACGAATTCATACCCAGGAAAACAAGTAGTAAAAGAAGCGCTCCATGGTGGACTCCTGAGCTCAGCAGTTTGCGTAAAACAAATAAACGTCCAAGAAAGACTTATCAACGTTGTCGAATGACCACACACGGAATCTTCACAAAAATGCCTATCATACCAATAAAAAAATATAGAGGAGAAGGTGGTATTATGGAACACTGCGGGTATTATGGAACCACCCCATTTCGAACTGATAATAAAGGCGAACTGTAGCGGAATGTGGCTGAACATCCATAGCAAGGGGAAAACCCGTTTTACTTCAGTTAAACGGTTGTCCGCATTTAATCAGCAAATTTGTTTTTTTCAAAATTCGCAAGTTTTGAATGCTAAGTGAATTTAATTATTTTTAAAATATAAATCGTGTAGTTGTAGGTTCACTGGTGCATGTATTCCGTTCCAGAGACTTAGGGGTACGTATTAATCTGTGTGATGTTCACGTTTTTTAAATTTTGGTCTTGACAGACATAAGTTAATTCAGATGGCGATGCGTGAAATACGGACCCCATTGGTGCTTTTACAGTAATATGGAACTCAACTCCTCCGAACTTTCTATTTGCAAGCAGACATTCCTCCAGAGCAATCTGTGAAAAAGACACTAGGTAGAAAGCTAATTCTTCCCGAGAATATCGAAAAAGAGCTGCTGGAATATATATTGTTGACGGAGGTCATATTTTTCTATTATAAAAGCATTTTTGCGATAAAATACATTGGAGTAAATAATTTGGTAATTATTTAACATTTTTTGTCCTTTCCTATTTGTTTTTGTCTACATTAAAGCATTTTTTGAAAATATACAGTAAGGTTCTATATTACCACCCGATTTTCTCTAAGCCTAGTTTCGGACTTTTTTGCAAAAGCCTTCAAAAACCATACTTATAATTACACTAGCGAAAAATCCAATTAGGAACATTTAGATTACTAGTTACCAGTACTTTTCGCACAAAAAATGTGGGTGTAGTTACGATACCTTGTTTACAATTCACTAAAATGTAATTGGGGTTCCATAATACCACCTTCTCCTCTATACAAACAAGCGACAAAATCGTCAAAATTACTCAGCTGGAGAAGATTCTGCTCAAAACATTCGAATAACCGTTGGGGTTTTATTGCTAAAATGTGCACAAATAAACTTCATTAAACAAAAGTTTTAATTTCTAATACCAATGATGACAATGCTACCACCAACTTCTTGCAGACCTTGAATAACCAATTAAACTTCTTCGGCCCGGTTACATACAAGATCTTGACACTGACTGGTAAAGGCAAGTCTGTACAGATGCTAATTCCCCTTGCAACACTAATAATATGCATCTTTTCATCAATGAGGAAATTAATGAGGCTTTTAAAAATTTGAGAAGAAAGGCCCTGGGCCCAGATGGCATTACAAATGAAATTGCCATGCAGATCTGAAACATGATCCCACAAAAACTTATTGACGTGTACAATGCATGCACCACGGACTTTTTCCTGAGACCTGGAAGGTAGAGAAGATAGTTCCTGTGCCCAAACCTGGGTTCCAATATGATACGAGATCAACCCCCGTCCTACCCGTCTTGTGGAAAATATTGGAAAGGTTTTTCGACACTAGACTTTCCTGGTTTGTGGAACACAACAAACTCATTAATGACACCCAGTTTGACTTTAGGCCACAGCGTTCGGCCGAGAATGCCATTCACCTGCCCGTTACTACAGTTAAGTATATACTAGAAAACCACAAGTATGGACTCGGGGTCAGTCTTGACATATCAAAGTCCTTTGACAGCGCCTGGTGTTCGCTCATCATAGATCAATTGAGAAAAATCAACTCTCTCTCCAACATTTTCAATTCGTTACAGGATTACTTAAGAAATAGGAAGGCCATTTTACACTGCGGCCAGCACCATGTTTCCAAACAAATTACCAAATGATGCTCACAGGGGGGCAGTCTGTGGACCAGTTCTGTGGAATATTACCTTTAACGCTTTTTTAAATCAAAATTTCGGCCAATTCTACTCTGTCGCTTATACCGATGACGTTTTGATGTGACTGGAAGGTCGCTCAAGGGCTGATCTCGAGCAAAAATGGAGATGCAATACTCAGCGAAATCGTCAGTTGGAGCACAAGACACAAATTACAATTCAATCCTCAGAAAACGAAGGGGATAGTATTCAACAAACCGGGCCAATCAAATTTATACTTACGTGTATTCCATATAAAGATAAATGGAAGGACCATTAAAATCTAAAAAACACTTAAATATCTAGGGGTTATCCTTGATTTTCCCTACTGAGAGGCCTTCCGGATTTAAGAGAAAAAGCGTACTTTTTCTGAAACATCTTATTATAATCTTAATAAAATTTACTAATTCCAGATGCCTACTGAATTTAAAAGGGAAACTGCTGCCAATAGAAAAGAATATGTTGAACAGGACTTTGTTCTTGCAGCTTAAGCAGACATACAAATCGTCTGAATTTCTATCAATCTATTCAATAGCAAAAAATTTAAAATTCCATATTGTACTTTTTGCAGAAGAGTTAAAGATAATAATTTAGCAAAGCGAGCTCTTAGATCAAATTCATGTGCCCAAAATTCAGTACCCAAAATGAAAAAACCACTTGTTTATCATATAATTAAGTTACAAACTCGAGACAAGTAAAGCCGATTCGATTCGATATGCGACGAGAAAAATGGATGCAACGTATAGAGTATAATGAATGTGGAAAGTACTAAAAACGCAAAACAAAATGTTATGTCGAGTTCTTGTTTAACTTTCTTCACTTTTATTAAAAGATAATACCTGGTTGTATACCTATATTTCTTCTCGAACCTACGGCTAAGCTACTTACTGTATAGTTGTAAGATCTGTATGCCCGGTTTTACCTTATAACATTTTTCTTTCTTATAAATTGCCTTAAAATAAGAAATTATCAGCCATTCAAAACAAAATAGAATAAGTTGTGCAATTTTTTTATTTAATTCAATGATACATCATAAAACAAATATAACCATAATAAAGTCGCGTTAGCACAAAAACTACAATGTTTTGAAAGTACACGATGTAATGAAAATCAATCTAAAACATTCTTTTTCGTATCAAAAAGTACAGACAATCAAAATTTAATAACAACTAAACAGTTTGTAATTTAATATTCCTTTGGTTTTCAATACATTCTGTTCATTGCAAGCTTTATAATTTCTCCTCTTTTACATGAGATTTATTAGTTCTTTTTAAATGTAATGATAAAATAACTTTGGTGTGATGAAATGGAATGTTCAATTAACTTTAACTTTTATTACTGAAGAAGCATAATTTCGTGTAGAATCGAAATTAATATAAAATACTTAAGTTTCTATATACAATAAGCTGTATAAACTGAGAGTATGACACCTGACATTCTGGCATTAGGAATTTTTATTTAACAAACTTGTAATAATAAATAGTAAAAATGCAAATATATCTTTTCATATTTAAAAAAAATGAAATTTTATATTAAAGATGTTAATGTAATGTTCACATCATCCAATGATAGAAATTTAATTATGTCTAATTGCATAACTATGATACAAGGCTACCAAAATGTCGCTACTCAATTACATTGTATGGTTTATAATATAAATGCAGTGATTTTTTGATTATCCTGTACTTTTATATAAGTACATCATAAGTTTAATATTGTAATTATGTACTAGGTTCTTTATAGTATGATAATTATGTACTATGGTATCTAATTATGTTATGCTTCAGATCATGTAAAAACATGTCAAACAGCAAATTTCATATAGGCATTATCTATATAAATGTACAAGCGATTTCTTCCAGTGTGGATACAATTAATTATCTTTGTAAATCTTGAAAATTTATTCATAATTTAGAGAAAAATAATTTTTATTATATTGCTTTATGATTCTAGAGATACTAAATAGTGGCAATCACAGGAAGATTTTTGTGTACACCGGGAAATAGTAAAATCGAAAAAGTCAAAAAAGCATAAATGCGTAAGGAATTATTATTTATGGTGGACAGTGCGGCTCCGTTGCAAGGAGCGTAAGGATCGACGAAATTGATCCTTCCTTCGATTCCTGTTACGATAGGTGATGACTTATTTAAGTAGTCGACGACGATATCGATGTCTAGCGAGCCTACAAAAAGAAAATTAAATAATTTTAGTATAATTGTGTGATATAATATAATTCATTCATAAAAATTAATGTTTTCTCTTGTACCTGCCAGATAATTAAATGTATCCAAAATTTGATTGTATAAGTTAGGTCTGTGACTAGAGGAAGGCCAGGAGTGGTTCAGCCACACTTAGAAAATTTTGAGCTACTTCTGTCCATTGTTTCAAATGATGAAATTCCGTTTACATATTCATTAAAAATTAATTATCTATAGTGTACGTTTTAAGTTTAAATTTCGAATATTTTTGTATTGTGTTGCACGGACATCGTTTAATAACCTATATTATTAACCTTAATAACCTTCTATACGGCCCTTTTTTTGCCCTTTAGCTGTCCATTTTACCACATTTTTGAACATACGTAAAATACGTAAAATGCTTCTTTATTAATAAAAAAGCAATCTTAAAAATTTTATTTTTTTTTTAGAAAAATAACGTTAATTTACAGGAATAATTGCATCTCCATTCTCAACGTCTCCAGTTAGAATATTATATACAATTTTACAATTTTTAAAATGTTTACTAACCTGTATTCAATAGGCGCAATGTGTTTTCGGGGATCATCTTGTAGTCATCACCTCCCTGAGTTAGATAAGTAGGCATCACTACTCTGTATATCTTACTTTCGTTTATAGGTAAGTAACGAGGAACCCTGCAGAAAGTGCAATGAACTAAAGCTTTGTGTACTCTCTGTCCAGGAGGTTGAGAAATATTGTAAGTAACTCGAACACCTGAAATTTAAATTAGACATGAATAAAGGTTATGTGCTGATTACTAATTTAAACTTTCTTTATAATCTATTTTATTTTATTCTATTTAAAATCTGATACATCGTTACATAATCCACATTTTTTATATGTCATTGTTTTCGGTTTCTGTTTAAACAATGAGAACTCACATAGGATCAATACACGAAGAAGTATGAGTTTTCATTGTATTCATTACATTATAACAATTTCATTTATCTGTTTATTTTCTGTGTCTTCAAGTAAATTCTTCTATTTGTAAATAAAACCTATAACTATTAATTCTTTACAGCATTTCTCTATAAATTCAGGTGAAACAATTACGCAAGAAAGAAAATTAATTCTCAATCATAATTAAGCTATGAAGAATATAACAATGACATTTTAACGAGGAACAATGCCAACATATTACCCCATTATAATTCAATTAGAGATGGTCGCTCCGTTTGTAATAATAAATGATCTTTTATTTTTTATTAATAGCCATAACGGTAAGGTCATAGTCAAGAAATTCCACCCCTCAATAAATAATATAATATCCTTCTAAAAATATATGAATTATAAAATCATTACATATTGCATTAAAAGCGCTAGTTTACTGTAAACTGAAATGATTTTAGTTCGAATCTTTGACTCTCAAAAATTTCCATAGAAGGTTTTACTCGTATATATTGTCTCTTCTCTCACCATTTATGGGCTTGCTAAACTCGTGATAAGCATAACAAGGCTCATTTTAATACAGGTATAATATAAAAAAATTTAAACACAGTTAAGTGATAACGAATAGTAATACCACGTATAAATACTAAAGCTCTTGCTTTGAAAAAATAAAGCCAATTATGAATTTTATTATCTTCGATTCATATTTATTGGTTAATCAATTAATGTAAGAATTAACACATTACAGGCTGTTTGTCTGACTACATTTATGCCCATTGTAAGTTGAGCCAATTTGCAATGGGTTCAATAGGATGAGAGGCAGAAAATGATGCTCTGATTCGAATAAATGATAAAATGTTTTGAAAATATAATTTGAAAATAACTCAAATTAATTAAGAATTCATTTCTTAAAAGTAAAGAATGAACATTTTTAAAATAGACATTATTTAATTTTGCTAATTGAAGAGATGAAACTTTCCTTCATTCACATTCAACGAGTTTATTTTAGGTAAAAATAAGTCGATAACGAATAAACTTACCAGAAACTTGTAAGAATCTTCCAGGAGGATCCTCAGGATTATTTCCATAATCATAAACAGATCTTTCTAATATTTCTATCAAATATTTTCCATAAATATCCACAACGTCCAAGGTATTAAGATAAGGCAATACATTCATTACATCTCTCATCAATATATTCCCTATAAATACACAAGTCAGATATTAATAATTAAAAAAAAATAACTACAAAAGACTAAAATTTATACCATCATTTTCTTTCTCGCTGATGGAATCCCTTATTCCTCCAGAATTGAAAATCGAAATTGCGATGGTATTCCATTGATTTTCGGTTGGTTTTTTAAGATAAAAACGTAAAACTGCATCGGTTATTACATTTCCAAAATTGCATTCGTGCATGCGACAATAAGGACGATCCGCATTAAGATAAACGTTACTTTGCCCTACGATAACGTTGCCTCGCTTATCGACTACTTCCTTATACGTTTCGACAACTTCTGCAGTCTCGTTATCTACATATAAATTGAAAAAAATAACTTAAGAATACCCCGGAACCTCGTCAAAATTAATAAATTGTAAGAAAATGACCTTGAGGAATTGTTTCATCCATAAGTATTGGGTTTCCTTCCCATGATATTACGTTCCCTGTTTCATCGAAAGTTACTTTCAGATGGCCTAAATATAATCCAAAGGCATAATCTTGAACTACTAATGCTTTTGAACCGTCTGATCTTTCTATCACCACTGGATAAGGCCCTTCTACTAACTGTGGAATAGGTGGTTCGCCTGAAAAACAAACATTCACTATTTATCATGTATAAGTGACCAAATTTATAACATATCAAGTGTTTGAAACTATTTTTTTTTCAAATTTAAACTAACATAAATCAATTGGATTATTTGACAGTCAATTTAGGAATTAGTTTTCATGTAGTTAAACCAAAATTAATTATATTTTCCGGATAAAATCTCATTCGTGCAGTACAAAATTTACTTTTTTGCATTAATAAATCATAGATCTGTACAGCTGAAGCAAAGAATAGACAATAATTTACATGATTTATACCTGTATAAAGGAAAGTATTAGTATGTCCCCCAACTACAACGTCAACTGATGGAACTTTTTCGGCAATTTCTTTATCTTTCAAGAAACCGGCATGACCCACAGCTATAATAATATTTATTCCACTTTGTTGTAAGATGTCCGCTTCTTCTTGAATACTTTCGACTTCATCGAAAAAAGTAACAGGACCTAACATACAAAGAAATATAATTATTGATTTTCAGTGCATAAAAGTTTAAATTTACTTGACAGTTAAGTAAAAAAAAGTAAACAAATAAATAATAAAACTTTACTTTGTCATAAAGGAAAATTTCCTGGAACGAACCTTTTTACACAATTAAACAGCAACTACCTAGAATCCTTTATTTGTTTTATCGTCGTATATTAATAAAAATTGAAGGACAAATTTTAACTTATATATAAAATAAAATAAAAATTAATATATAAATCGATAAAATGCAGAAAAATACTACAATTTTTATTATTATTTGTATAATTAAATCCTCCCTTTAAGACAAAATCTTCGTATTATCAGAAAATTAAGTCGTTAAAATACTTCCAAATAGGATTAAAATAACCTCATATTAGCGTTTAAATAAAATAAATATATAATTAAAAATATATATTTCTTAAACTTAGCATCATAAAAATGTGAAAAATTTATAAAAGATTAAAAATATTCTTAGAAACCATCCAGTCAATTCTATTGTTTTATGTTGTTGTTTTTTTTTATTTTCTCTTATAATAATTACTTGTAAGAACATAAAATTTAAAGTATGAATATAAACTCAAAAGTCAAATATATTGTCTTCGTGTCTTGAAATTTATTCACGATTCACCACAGTTACACGTGGCATAAACATCATAATTAGATATAAGCAACCCTTCGTGAATCGGGAATTAATAGCGATTTAAATAATTATCATACGTCAGAATATAATAAATGGGTGTCACAAAAGGCTACCGATTTTTCCGGAAAAAAAAAAGTTGCTGACATAAATAACAGGAAGAATTTAATTCACGTCCTTGAAAAAGCCAACATTGTCCCGATTCTAAAACTCGTTTTTCTTTTTTTTTTCTTCTGAATTAAACAAGAATCCATCCGTAAAAATCCATAAACTTGATTAAACATTACGTCACTAATCTTAATTATAAGAAGACAATTTACACTAACCTGTTTTTGCTAATTCTGGTGTATCCTTTGTCGTATACCCTATGACTCCTATTTTCTCTCCTCCTACATCTAAAATTACAGATTTTCTTATTTTCCCTTCTAATTCCGGTATCCCGCTTATATTTATATTGCTACTGATTATTGGGAAAGTTACATTATCCAAGAAAGGTACCAATCCAGCAACTCCATCGTCGAATTCGTGATTACCTAAAGCCTAATAAACGAATTGAAAATTACAAATTAAATATGTAAAACATATCTTTTCCCCCCCCTTATAAATCGTGTAGAATTGCCTTATAGGGACTTGTGCTACATACCATATAATAATAGATAACTAGGATAAGCGTGACAGATTCTACACGAATGTCTCATTTCCTTTGTGGAGACCAAATGTTCGAAATAAACTATTTTTGGAACTTAAGATGTTATGAACGTCAACGAAATGAATCTTGTCAGCCACACGCTAGAGTTAGATTATTATCTGCGAGCAAACTTATCACTTACTTTAATCGTTACTTAGTCATTACATTAGTTTCTAACTAAAACTAATATTATTTCATGCTTTAAACAAACTCTGATTAATTAAATTTCAGAAATTAAAGTAATAATTATTCTATAATTAATTATAATTTATAATAAAACAAGATAATCAAACTTATACTAAAACAAATCGAATTATCTAGTATTATAAGGCCTGTATAGTATAACCATGCTTATTTTTCTAGCTGTACTCAAGTAAAGCATGATTATATCTGTGTTAATAAAGTAAAATTATAATCATTTGCTTACATTTTCTCAGATTTTATTATTAAAATATGAATCAAATTCAAATATAGTTAAGGGTTGGTATCCCACACGTGTTTCCGCATCTTTTACTATAATCTTAAGCATATATTTACATACAATTGTAAATAATTAAAATGCTTAGATATAATGGAAAATATATTTATCAGTGTATAAATTATTGAAGTAGACAGGCGTAAAATATATATTCAACGATGCGTAATGTTATTAAATTAGCGAGAGTAAGGAAAGCCATTCATTTCAATGTCATTATCTGATTATAATACGAATACGTAATATTTATAACAGGAAACGAAATATTTTGTTTCATTGATGCACAGATTATCCTTTTATTTTCAAATCATTAACTACAAATCAACGATGTGTAAATTTATTAATTATCCACTTCCTGTTGCAACTTCTTTTCTAAATACTTTTTATATAACATTATGGAGGTAAAATAATAATTTCTGTATTCTGTAGTCAAATTATATATATATATACTGCATGCAGTTCATGTTTATAGGTATATTTATTATGCTAATACTCTGTAGTCCTTGTCAAAGGGGTGGCGCCAACGACCGAGTGGATAAAACCACCGAACACTTGTCGTGGATTCACGCCTCGCCTATAGGCTGATTGCGTGAAGTTTTCAAAGTTTCCCTCACCTGCCTAACACCTAAACAGGGGCCAGTTTCACACGAAAAGTTTCTCCTTGGCAAATCGTCCACGTATTGCGATTACTTATTTCATCAATCCAATCTAATCCATGCCAAAGGCCACGACCTTTGACAAGGTCTACAGAGTGTGGTAAATTTGATAAAAATAATAATTAAAAATATTAAAACTAAAGATGATATTACCATTTTGCTTTATTACTTTCCCAGCTTTGCCATACTTTCTCTCTGTTATATATAACAATCAGTCAAAAAATGATCCCC